TTTAATGGCATCCCCCTCTTGGATGCATCACTTTAGGTTACTGTCTAGTTTTGTTATTTTCCTTCTGGAGGACTCCCGCCAGTATTTCTTATACAGCCAGTCTGGTAGTAACAAATTTCCTTAGTCTTTGTTTTTCGTGTAATGTCTTAATTTAATCTTTACACATTTTTAAAAAATTTTATTTATGTGTTGTTGTTGTTGAGAATGTACACAGCAAAATATACACCAATTCAACAGTTTCTACATGTACAAGGCAGTGACAGGGAGTAGATCCTTTGAACTGTGTGACCACTCATCTTCCTTCTGAGTGGTTTCTCCCCCATGAGTATGGAAGGACCACCCATAAGGTTCCCATCTAATTTTCCAAGTTGCTGTTGTCAATCCGATCCCATGTAAATAGTTCTCAAAAGAGTATAAACACTCAAAGAAAATATTCTGTACTACTTAAGCAAAACTATTGTTTGGTTTTAAGACTTCTGTGGATATTTTTGGATTAAGGTTTAAAAATTATCTCAGGGCAATAGTTCCGGGGTTCATTCAGCCTCCATGGCTCCAGAAAGTCTAGATTCCATGAGAATTTGAAATTCTCTTCTGTATTTTTCCCTTTCAATCAGGATTCTTCTATAGAATCTTGATCAAACTGTTCAGTAATAGTAGCTGGGTATCATTCTGTTCCTCTGGTCTCATGGCCCAGGAGGCAGCTGTTTATGGACACAACAGCCACATATTTCATATCCTCCTCCTATTCCTGACTTCCCTTCCTGCTCTGTGGCTCGTGTGAACAGAGACCAATTGTTGTGACTGAGGTGGCTGCTTAGAAGCTTTTAAGAACCCAGGCCTTATGTAACAACCTACAAGGTAGAACAGAAGCACTAAACACGTTATTAGGCCAATTAACTGAGATGTCCCGTGAAATCACGACCCTGAACCTCCGTGAGGTTGTCAGCTGTACATTAGCAACCTCCATAGCTGCTCTCGTCCTCACTTTTGATTGACAGCTTGGCCAGGTAGATTAGTCTTGGCTGAAAGTTGTCTTTTATCACTTTAAATATGCTATCCCACTGCCTTCTTGCTGCACACTTTCTGAAGAAAAACTGGCACTTGACCTTTCTGAAGGCCCCTTGTATGTGACACTTCCCTCCTCTTGTGCCATCCTCAAAATTCTCCTTTGTCCTTGGTTCTCCAGAGTTTATGATACACCTCAGTGTGTTTCCTTTAAGGATTTATCCTACACGTGGTTCAATGAGCTTCCTGAATGTGAAATTTCCAGTCTTTCACGATATTTGGGAAGTGTTCGGCCATGACTTCTACAAAATTTCTTTCTAGATTTTTCCCTGTCTGGAACTCCCATAATGCACAATATTCCTCTCAATGGTGTCTGCTGATCACTCAGGCTTTGTCCACTTTCCCGCATTCCTTTATCCTAGGAGCTCTGGTAGCATAGTGCCTAAGGTACTTGACTGCTAACCAGAAGGCTCGTGGTCAAACCCACCAGCCACTCCTCAGAAGGAAGGTTGGGCATTCCTACTTCCGAAGTGATACTGCCTCAGAAACCCAAGGAGGGGTCACTATGAGTCGGGGCCGACTCGATGACAAATAACAACAACAACAACATTAGTTCTTCAGATTGAGCAAATTCGGAGGTCCTATCTTCAAGTTCACTCACTCTCTTCTGCCATTTCAATTCTACTTCTGAGTCCATCCATGGTGGTGTTCTTTTGTATTATTTTACTACTAAGCCCCAGCATTCGTAATTTAAAAAAATATATATATTTTTTGTTTAATTTTGTTTTCTTGGTTTTTCTTTGTACTGTTCTCCTGATGTCCCTTCAATCCTTTCCCATGTTCTTTTCTCTCTTTGTGCATGCTCAATTCTAATGCGTTGAAGTCTTTACTTTCTGATTCCAATAGCCAACTCTTCTACCCCCTTATTCTCTTCATTTCCACGAGCCACCTTTCCTGTCCCTTCATCCCCTGCGAGTTATCTTTGGGGCATTAAGACACTGTCAGTACCATTTGCCCTGATGTCGGACGGGCCGCTCCTTCCCCGCTCTGTGGACTGCCCGTCCTCCTCTCGTCGTCGTTACGGTTGCTGCCGGTGCTGCCGTGGGCTGCGCTTCTCCGGCTGCACCCCAGCACCTCCTCTGCTGCACGCGGCGTTCTTCTGCGCTGCTGCCTCCCTGCCCAGAGGCACCCACTCTCGCTGCATCACCTCTAGTTTTCCCACACAGGGGAGTGACTTGGCCACTACGGCACGTAACTCTGTCCCCATAGCAGCAGCAACCACTGGAGGCGTTGGCCATGTTTCTCTGGTGTCAGATCCTCTGAGAGATGTCAGCTCTGCCCCTCCAGGGCCTGCCTCCCTCCTGGGGTTACCAGCTGCCCACAGTTGCTCACCACAAGCCACCCCCCACAAGGGCCAGCCATACAATGCTGATCTAGACCCTCCACCCCGACACGGCAGTGGGCACGGATGCTCCCAGGACTCCTCTCTCAGGAACGCTGAGAGCCTCAGCCCCAGCCTCAGAGCCCCTCGTGTAAATGTCAGCAGCTGCTGATGGACCCGTCCTCACTGCTTCTCTCACCAGGCCAGGACTCACAGGCCCCCCCGTCTACACAGGACTAGGCGCACTGCCCCCAGTCTGTCTGCCCAGATGTCCCCGCCTGCACTGTTCGCTAGCATCGCCTCTCTGTCAGGCCCACTGTTCGTGGGTTGCACTGGGGTCTGCACTGCATCCTGGGTCAGCTGTCAGGTGTGAGGCTGATGCCCTGGAAGGAGCAGTGATGGGACTTCTCCTGACACTATGCCCAGGAGATGAGTCTTTGGCTTCAGAGACAAAGGATGAAATTGTTCAGTAATTGTAGCTGGGCATCAGTCTGTTCTTCTGCTTGGAGACCCGGCTTCGGCCCGGCACTGTTTCCCACCATGTGTGCGCCCGGTCCATCTCTCACTGCAGGCAGCAGCGCGGGGCACGGCATTCCTGCCCACGGTAGGGCCAGCGCTGGGGCACCATCAGGCCAGTGGCACTGAGCCAGTTCTCCCATGCAATGGGGGTTGGGGGGAGAGAGCTAGCTGGTGCCTGGCGGGCTGTTTGGCTGAGGGCCGCTTCCTGCCCTGGTTCTGTATTCCAGTGCTAATGCTTGGTGTTTTCCTGCCGCACTGAGACACGGAGTACCAGCCCACACTGTTGACCTCCCTGCACCCAGGGCTCGTACCACATTTCTGCCTATGAGGAACTCTTTCATGCCAGTGCTGACCACTCTACCAGGTGGTCTGGGGGATCCACATGCAGCCATACCAAGCACTACTCTTTCCCCCTCAAACAGGGCTCACCTGCACACTTCATTGTTAGGCATCAACTGGTTCTCTGAAACCAACACAATGCCAAAGGATTCCTCGCCTGCCACATGGCCTTTGTATCTACGACTTCAGAGGAATCATCTGCTTTTACAACCGAGGGGGAGCCTTTCCTCTCCAGAAAGGCACCTTCACCGCCCTCCGTGACATCCCGTCATCGGACCCGCTCATCGGTTTTCTGGGTCCTCTCTTCCCTTCATCCTCCTCAGCTTTCAGCCAGTCTCAGCAGCTTGAAGAAGCTCTTACTCATATTTTGAACTTCATGGATTGTAACTATCTTGCTAACTATGTTTGTGAGAGACTTTATTTTATATTCCTTGTAGCTTTATTTATGAATTTTACAAGAGAAGAAGTAGAAAGACTTCCACCAGCACATTTACAAAGGAAATTGCCTGCTTATTTTTAATTTTGCATTATTTCTACTTTTCCATGTTTTTCTGTTCCTTCTAATGTGTTTTTCTTGATACTTTTTAAGAGGCTGCCTCTAGGGCTGTTATTTCTTTAAATAAGTCATTTAAATTTCTTCTAAATAAGGTAAATAAGTGATGCTTTGTTGCTGTTGTTATGTGCTATCGAGTCGGCCCCAACTCATAGCGACCCCTCCTTGGGTTTCTGAGGCGGTATCACTACAGAAGTAGATTGCCCAACCTTCCTTCCGAGGAGTGATGCTTATCTCTTAATAATAAACTTAGACATCCTTCTCCACTCTGAGCATTCTACACCCTGGATACTTACAGTACTTCATGGAGAAGCAATTCCCATTTTCAGTTCTGTGTGGGTTGAACCATTCCCTTCCTTTGAACGTCCATGCCTCTTTTCTCTCTTATTTGCCTACTGATTTGGTAACAAAATGCAGATCATATCTAATCTTCTAGACTGTCGGCTGTGTTGGAGAGCTCTTGTCTGCCCTGTGTGTATTTTCATCAATGTCATCAATAAGCTCTCTGATTAACTAATCACCAAAAAAGAACTAGCAACAGTGACATTCTTTAAAAAAAAAAACCCTCGGGAGCACAGTCCAATAACAGCACTCCTTCCTTGGCTTCTATTGTAAGATATGGGTTATAAAGGGTATGCACACAATTGACAACATACTATGAATTTCATCACGATCCCTGCAGTTGTTGACTGAAAAGAGTATCCGGAAGAACTATCTAAGTTCTTGACTTTGTGAAAGACAAGAGTATTCCAAGATCTTCAAATCACAGAAGAAATCTGCCAGCCTCATTACAAAAAAAAAAAAAAGCACAGAAAATAAAATGCTGACTCACGGTATGAGCAGAGATGTGCTCTAGAGAATTCAACACACAACTGTTCCTGGGTCAGAGTAGGGTGCTTGGCAATCCTTATCTGTGGGGGCTTTACTTTATTCTTAGAAAACACCTCATTCCATCTTTAAAGGGAACACTAGTTCCTTGTCAGGAGCACACAGAGATGGATAGCATCACGATGACTACGATGTGTCCCATAAGCCACCTCTCAAACACTGGTCTAGATGCATCACAACGTTGACCACAGGAAGCTATTCTTTGCCCTTGTCAGCTTATTCTGGTCACATTTCATGGTACATTAGCTCCGATACTGAGAAAAACACATTTGCAAGAGATATTTCTACAATTCATTATGAAAAATAATAACTTACTTGTGACCTAAATGCTTCAGAAAGTATCCCAGAACCTTCAGAGCTTGAACCCAAATACTTTCACTTTTAGAAGCCAATAATTTGTAGATCACCCTAAAATAAAAAATAAATTATATAATCTTTTTAATCTTTTAAGCACTTAATAAAATTAAAAGCCTGAACAGTGTATGCTTTACAAAGGAACTATAGATACATAGAACAACTAATGTACTGAATACTTACAATTCTTTGTAGAAACTGAAAATGAGCATGTTTTCTTGATTTTTCTTTAAATTTGGCCTTCTCGTACGTGTCCTAATAGGCAATGCCACGAGTTGTTAGCCTGGCTTGCCTCCCAGAAGGCGGCACCATTTCCACCTCACAATACGCGTGCTCGGCCCGTCTGTGTGCCACGCACCACCCCAGCACCCGCACCTGGTGCCCTGGCACAGCAATCACAAGCACGCGGAGCCCTCTGCCTGATGGCTTCTCTTCTGTGAGAGTCTGGAATGGGGTCTAAGGAGCTGTATCTGGTCTTTGCTCGACTCTTGGACTAGGACATGATTTAAAACAAGAAGCAGGACAGCCACGTTCTGTTTCTGCTCAGAAAGGCTGAAAGGTTAGTCCACGTGAGGAGCAAGGAAGCAGCCTCGCAGAAAGGAACAGAGGAAGCCGAGTTGTGTCCTGCTCCTTCTCCAGGTCCTAGTACCCACCCCAGGAGGTTTTAATATCAAACACCTTATGCTGTTTTTAACCTAAACAAGTCGGACAGACATTCTGTTATATGGACCAAGGAGCCTCTAATAACATACAAGCCAGCCTATACAGTCCCATCAGACACTCTTAGACCAAGGACATATTCATCAGAATATTTATAGATACTTCAAAAATTTTCTCACACTTCTCCTTTTCCCTTTTTTTTTTTTTTTTGAGTCAGTATTTGTCCATATGGTAGAGGGGATCAATGACACTGTATTAACCTAACGCTAAATCTAAAATTCTAAAGCGTTCCTTCCATGGCAGCAATGGCAACTCTGTGTAACCAGGATGTGATTTCGTGTAGTGATTAAAAAAAATGTCAAGGTACATCTTGAAGGTGATCTCAGCAAGGCCGCAGAAAAGCAGCTGTCATTTTCATACCACTTGAGTGACATTTACAGAGGGGGCAAATCAACTTGAAAATAATGTCATCCATTTTACTTCGATCTTAGTCTACGTTATTAAAAAGAAAAAAGACATTGTTGACGTTGCATCATGATTTCAGTTTAACCCACTGAAAAGCAGACCATGGGAACAAATACGCTCAAGAGCGGTTACTCTCCGTAGACGGGGACTGTTCTCAGGGCCCCGAGTGCCCCAGTGTGTGTGCTGCCACGGAAATCCTGTCAGAACTCCCAGAGACTAAGACCACTAAGGGAAAAAACTATAGATAGGAAAGTTACACCCCAAACCCACCGCCATCTACTCACAGAGGATTCTGACCCACAGCGCCCCTAGAGGACAGAGTGGAACTGC